GCGAAGATGTGAAGTGATGACTGTGGTCAACTCGCTCCTGCGACATAGACGCTTCATGGTCATGAGAAGCTCACTGACCCTCTGCAGCTGGCAGGATGTCTGTCTGACGACGTCGTTCCTCATGGCGAAAGTGACTCCGGCATCTCGTTTCTCTGCCCTCGAACGAACGCTTCAGAAGGTGTTTTGAGCACCCACCTCCTCCATTTGTCCTGATTTAGAGAAGTGGAGCTCAGTACCAGCCGCAATGTCCGCTTTTTATCGGGCCAGTTTGCGGACAGCCAGAGTTGTCCTCCTTTCCGAACGGTAGTCATTGGATCGTCTAGAGGAGAACGTCCCAGACAGCCAGGATGAGCAGTGTTACTTTGGCAATCCGTGGAGCGGCATGGAGGTTGGGATGGGGTCTGTTGTTTATTGTACACTTTTGAACGCATATTTTGCGTCAACTGTTTACGGTCAGCTTGCCAATGACCTGTTTTACTAAAAATTTTAGGGTCCATTTTCTGTCTCCGTCTCGCGTGAGGGGGGGGGGGAGGGGACACTCGATCTTCACTCAATGGACCTGATTCAAATTCGAACACAACACATGCTGAAAGTTTGACCGTTATGAAAGACGACTTCCACCGGCGACTTTCACTGCGTCTACCGCACTCCCTCCTCTCCCACGCACGCGAGGTCAGTCTCAAGACAGAGTCAAGAAGACCGGAGATAAGACCGAGCGTAGCGACCGACGACGTCGAGGGTAGCACACACGGGATAACGGGAGCACTAGATATAAATCCTGGCTAATCTAATCTGAAGAGAGTTGTCAAACGGGTCATCGATATCATCCAAACTGGCAGCAGAAAAAGTCAAGTGGTGTGCAATACGTATACTAAGAGTGGTGGGTTAGATACACAGGGGAACGTTAAACGATACGAGGGGGAATGAAAACTACAACAGAGGTGATGGTCCGTCTGGATGAAGAGGCGCTACCGACATACCAGCCACAGAACCGGTGGGGGAATGCAGCGCTGTCGTCAACTGCATGGGGGGGCCGTTAAAAGTGCCGGCGTGGAGTGGGAAATACGGTACGGTAACTGCGGGAGAGAGGTCGGCGGAGACGTGAGGACAGAACACCGGCCATTTTCGCCGACATGCGGTCACACCATCTTCATCCTGGATCCGCGCTCCAAAAAGTGTCACAACATCCAAACAACCCAGCTCAGGTCGAGGGGCTTTACACGAGTGCGTTGGCTGATGTAGCTAAACAGCCCGTCTAAGCGTGTCACATGCCTGGTCCGCGCACACAGGACCAGAATGTTACACAAAAAAGAAAAGGCGTTATTGGATCTCAACTGAGCGGGGGTGTCATAGAGGCAATATTACGAAAGAACAGTTGTAGCCTGAGGGGGGGAACTGAGTACTGTTGTCATTTGGTAGCCTTCTAAGCCACGGTTTTTAGCGCATCACGATAGTTTAAAAGTGCACCACCTCGTTTATAGTGAGGAATATATGCTGAATGCCGTGGGGACGGAGTCCCCAGGGTCGGCCTCACATCATCTTCCTTCTACCCTGCACCAGTCAATTGTCCGAACCGACTTACTAACTGATGTTGAGGTCGGGCGCATTGGCTGCTAGAACCAAAACAGCCCGCACACGCGTGTCACCCGGCACACCATGTTTTCACCTAAAAGGGATGGACTGCTCGGATATCACTTATTTTGGAGTAGCAGAGAGGTCACATGAATAAGGGGCTGAAAATCACGCTTCCCACTTAGGCGGGAGTTGATTGTTTCGTGCCTACGATGTGTACTATGGGACGGGGCCGTCTTTGATATATGTGCTGGCGAGGAGATGTGTGATGATGGAGTTTGGTCGGCCGTGCATTACTGCAGATTAGCATGGAGACGCACGTGGCCGAGTAGGCCCACGAGGTGACTGAACTTGCACGGACATTTTGGGCAGTTGAGGTGATGGCGACGGGATTATGTAAGTGCACTTGACACTGGTTCGCCAGTCCCCGTGCAATGAATTCGCAAGTGACCGACCAGGCCGGTGCGTGATGTGAAAGTGCAGTCGCAATGAGGACAGGTTGATATCGAGTCCACAATGCTGGTGGCGAGGGCGGCGATGGTGACAGTAGTAGTTGACAGGGCATCAGAGGTGTTCACACCTGTGGGAGGAGTGGAAGAGGTGGTAGTTGACGCCGTCGTCAAGGCGTTTATGGCAGATATGACGGAGGTGGTGGTGGTCGATTGAGGCTGAACGCCAGGTGTGTGATCACTGATGACGATTATGATGATTCTGCTGCTGCCGGTGGTGGTGGTGGTGGTGGTGGTGGTGGTGGTGGTGGTGGTGGTGATGGTGGTGGTGGTGGTGGTGGTGGTGATCTCCATCGTGAAGGCCGTGCAGGTTGCTACAGGGACGACGTGGCAGCTTTTGCAAAGGCGGCAGGTGGGGTTGCCGGGTTGTTTTTGCATGGGATTTGGAGATATCCAACGAGGCTGATCCGGGTGCGGAATGTTCATAGGCAGCCCTACGGCGATGTTGTAGGCAGGTCCAGGCTAACTCGGGTCGTTCTTCCACTAAGCAAAGGCCGTGGCCCATAGTGGAGTTCGGCAGCCGTCTGGTAAAACCGAGCAGCCCTATTTAGGGAGAGCACTGCACGCCCCCGCGAGGGGGAAGGGACTAGAAAAAGTGCTGGGGATCCACGCCGTCTGCAGACTGACCGTGGCTGTAGACGCAAAACTCACGGTCGAAACAATCAAACCGGAAACAACACTCTTTCTTCCCCCTCCTCCTACTCGCCGACCCACTCGCCAGACTGGTAGGGTAAGTCCACTTACTCTGGCAGTCTTGAATGTTCGTTCCATTTTGGATAATCCGGCGCTAGTGGCTCGGGAACTGGCGCACTACCAGGTGGACCTCGCCGCACTCGGTGAGACTCGGTTCTCTTAACAAGGCCAAGTGAGGGAAGTGGGTGTCAGCTATACCTTCTTCTGGAACGGTCGCCCCAAGACAGAACGAAGGAACGCGGACGTCGTCTTTGCCATCAGGAACGACATCTTGGGACGATTGTCCTGTCTGCCGCAGGGCATCAACGATCGTCTGATGAGCCCCCATCTGCCTCTTCGGGAGACAAATTCGTCACCATCATCAGTGGCCAGTCTCGACGCCGCAAGAGACAAATTCTACAAGGACCTGCACGCCCTCCTGGTGACTGTGTCGAAGGCGGATAAGTTGATTGTCCTTGGTAACTTCAACGCCCGCGTCGGCACAGACCATACTGCCTGAAGAGGAGTTTTGGGTGCCCACGGTCTCGACGGCTACAATGACAATGGTTTGCTCTCCCTACGAACGTACGCAGAACGCCGGCTCATCCAGACCAACACTTTCTCCCGCCTCCCGATGAGAGAGAAGGCCACCTGGCTGCACCCTAGGCCACGACATTGGCACCTGCTGGACTAATTCCTCGTCCGGAGGAGAGACCGGTGGGACGTGCTGGTGGCAAAGGCGATCCCGCGTACCGACGGGTGAACCGACCATGTCTCGTAATCTCAAGAATGCGGATTAACCTATAGCCTCGCAGGAGACCTCAAGGTAAGCGACCCCCAGGTAAGTTGAATACTGCTTTGCTGTCTTTGCTGCTCACTATCTCCACTTCGGCAATGACCTAACTCAACAGTTAGCCGGCCTTCCAGTCATCGCCGTGGCCGCCGACGAGAACGCCTCCGTGGGGAACCGATGGTTTCAACTGCGGGACACGCTCCAGTGGACTACCCTGGCCGTCCTCAGTCGCGCACGTGGCCAAAATCGGGACTGGTTCGATGACAACGAAGCCGCCATCAGCAACCTGCTCGTCGAGAAGAACCGCCTGCACAAAGCCTACGTGGACCACCCCACCGACGACAACAGAACAACATTCTCCCGTAGTCGCCGCCTTATACAACAGCGGTTGCGCGAGATGCAGGACGCTTGGACGGCTCGCAAGGCTGAGGAGATCCAAGGATACGCAGATCGCAACGTATGGAAAAACTTCTTCGTCGCGACCAAGGCTGTCTACGGTCCGCCAAACAAAGCAACTGCTCCTCTTCTCAGCGCTGACGGCAGTATCCTACTCACCAAGAAGGCACAAATTCTGCAGCGATTAAGTGAGCACTCCAGAAGCGTTCTCAACTGTCTCTCCACCATATCCGACGCCGCCATCGCCCGTCTGCCTCAAGTTGGGACCAACGCCGACCTCGGTCTCCCGCCCTCTCTGCACGTAACCATCAAGGCCCCCCAGCTGCTCTCCACCGAGAAAGCGCCCGGATCGGACGCGATTCCTGTCGAGATTTACAAACACAGTGGCCCCCAAGTCATGGATCATTAGACGGCGATCTTCCCGGAGATGTGGCGTTAAGGAGAAGTTCTGCAGGATTTTAGGACGTCACAATCGTCCACCTCCACAAACGCAAAGGGGACCGCCAGCTCTGTGGCAGCTATCGAGGCATCTCCTTGCCGAACATCCTCGGGAAGATCTTTGCTCACATTCTCCTCAACCGCCTGAACCAACATCTGGAACAAGGTCTCCTGCTGGAAAGCCAGTGTGGCTTCCGCCGTAATTGTGGGACCACGGACACGATCTTTACCGCCCGCCAACTGCAGAAGTGTCAGGAGATGCGGATCCGCCTCTACTCTACCTTCGTGGATCTGATGAAGGCCTTGGACACGGTGAACCGTGAGGGACTGTGGGAAATCATGCAAAAATTCGGCTGTCCCAAACGATTAACTCAAATGGTGTGTCAGCTCCACGATGGCATGACGACGCGAGTCGCAGACAATGGAGCTGTCTCAGGGACATTCGCAGTAATTAACGGAGTGAAGCAGGGCTGCGTCCTCGCGCCTACCCTCTTCAATCTCATATTCTTTGTCATGCAGATGGACGCCTACCGTGACGAACGTCCTGGGACCCGCATCACCTACAGGACGGACGATCAACTCCTCAACCACCGGTGGATGCTCTTCCAGTCGTAGGTATCCACGATATCACCGACGACTGCGCTCACAACGTCACCTCGGAAGGGGACATTCAAAGGAGCATAGACCTCCTCGCCGCCGCCGTCTTCGCCTGCGACAGATTCGACCTAGTCATAAACATGGGAAAACGGTGGTCAGGCATTAATCGCCACTCGGGCTGCCTACGTCGCACACCAAATCAACGTAAACGACGCCCAACTGCAAGCCGTGGGAAACTTCACCTACCTGGCAGCACCCTCTCCCGCAACACCAAAATCGACGATGAAGCGGCCCCCCGCATTTCCAAGGCCAGTCAAGCCTTCGGCCGTCTGCGAAACATAGTTTGGAATCGATACGGTCTCCACATCAGCGCCAAACTGAAGATGTACAAGGCAGTCATCCTGCCGACGCTGATCTATGGAGAAGAGACCTTGACGGTGTACAAGAAGCAGGCGGGGAGACTCAATCATTTCCACCTCAGCTGTGCCCAACGGATATTGAAGCTGAGGTGGCAGGACCGGATTCCGGACACGGATGTACTGAATTGGACGGGAATCCTCAGCATTAACGCCATGCTGGGACAGTTGCAATTGTGTTGGAGCGGCCGCATCGTACGGATGGACGACGAGCGGCTACCCAGACGACTCGTCTATGGAGATACCACTACGGGTTCCCGCCGACAAGGAGGTCGAATCCGGCACTATAAGTATGCCCTGAAGGCTTCTCTGTGGCGCCTATAAATCGATCCGGCCACCTGGGAAGACTTCGTCCGAGACCGACTACGAAGAGGAGGACAGTGAAGACAGGCGTAGGGATCTATGAAGTCATCTGCATCACCGCTGACAAAGTCAAACGCGAGGTTTACAAATCCCAAATGCGTCCTCCTCGCAACGCCAACGCTCAACCAGCCCTGACCTGCCCACGCTGCCAGTAGACGTTTCGGGCACCAATCGGCCTTGTAGGACATCTTCATATCAACTGCAGCACCCGAGCTACACCAGCTGTTTTCTCCTCGTCCAACTGTGCCTCAGCCTCCACATCGACAAATAACATTGACCGCGCATCCGAACCCCCACTACCATCCTCCTCCCTCTTCTTCTTCTTCTTCTTCTTCTTCTTCTTCTTCTTCTTCTTCTTCCCTTCCGTTGCCTCAACATTCGCTACGGCGGATCCTAAACCCACCACCACTGCACACAATCCTGACACACCAAAAAACATCAACCCTCCCCCCACCAACAACGCCAGTGATGTGGACTCTTTCCATACCTGTCCTCTTTGCGACCGCACCTTCACCCCACGCATCGGCCTGGTCGGTCACTTGCGAATCCATCGCACAGAGACTGGCGAACCAGTGCCTGGAGCACCAACCTACACTCGCCGAATTCGCCTCCACTGTCCACACTGTCCCCTCACATCCACCCACTGCATGGGCCTGTTTTGCCACATGCGCATTCAAGAAAACCTGCGGTAGACAACTGTCGCCTACGCCACACCATCCCGCCTTCTCCCACCAACGCCTGCATCACACAACACTATCACCTGCCACAAACATCCAATTACCACCTCTCACACAAGTGGAAAGTGTGAGTCTCGGTTCCGTCCTCATGCGGCTCCTCTGCTGCATGTGTGATTCGAGTCTAAGGCTATCGCCGCGCGTCAAGTGCCATGGCTGGGAAGTCTGCTGACTGACGCCCCAACTCCGCCCACGCAGTCCGTCCAGTTGTGTGTTTGTGTGGAGTGGAAGACTGGTGGGCTGAGAGTCAGGCTGAAACGGTTCCTTCTTACCGTGACCTGTGGCACTCTCACGCATGTGGGATGTATGCCGCCCAACCCCCGTAGTGTGAGATTCTGGCGCTTGTGTTTGGGGGGGCAGGTCGTGCATGTGACATGCACAGACGAGCTCCCTGGTTCTGTCAGCAATCATGCCCATTCCCTGCATCTGTCAACTGACCGGCTCGGACGGTGACTGGGGCCTGGGAATAGGAAGGGAGAGTGAGGTCGACGGTTCAGAGAATATTCCTCACTATAAACAACCTGACGTGCTTGGAGCTATCACGGTGCGCTAACAGCCGTGGCTTGGATGGTTGCCAACTGACGGGATATCTTCTACCTCGCAGTCGGCCCAGTGCTGCGTGTTTGTGTGAAGCAGCCGACTGGTGGTCTAAGAGTCAGGCTGCAATGACTCCTTCTTACTGTGGCCTTTATGGCATTCCCACTCCGTGGGATCCGAGTTGGGTGTGACGGCACGCCAAGAGCGGTTCTGTCTGCACCATCTCCTCTTTGTTTTTGGTTAAAATCCTGGTCATTTGCTGTGGGGACCATGGGGTATGGAGTGAAGCACCAAGGTATGGTCTCGACTGTACCATCCACCTGCGCCCTCCCTCGCCTCCGGTCTTGTTGACTATGTCTTAACAGAGGTCCAGGTGGGGGAGTAGAGAGTGCGGTAAATGTTGCGCAAGTTCACATTCACTATAAACTAAATCACGCACAAGTCACCGGGTCTGCTTTACCATGCTGCGGAGCACACGGCATGGCAACGACGGCCGAACTATCACTGAATTATCCGTTGTTTTCGTCAAAGTATTCAGGATTTCGTCTGCACGCGACTCCCATACACCTCCATAGTAGTGATATGGATTGTCTTGCGTAGTTTACTTCACTTGTGCTCGACATCCAGTTTAGTTTTAAATCCCTTGTTTAGCTACAGTCTGAGCACATCCAGCTAAGGCACTGCACTTTCAGCTTCCTGCGTGCTTTCTTCATGCAAGACGATCTCCGTGGTTGGGATTTTTGCCAGCACTACAGACGGTATTCCAGGATGAGTCCAGCAGTTGGTGTTGCATATTGACTGTGTCACCAGAAATTCCCGGTGTTCTCATGTTAACATAACTCAGCAGTCGTCATTGTCGAGTATGGATGCATCTGCGTTGTCTTTTTGAGGTTGGAATGGAGGCAGGGGCTGCTTGTGACGAAGAGGTTGTACTCGAACCAGGTCTTTGAGAAAAAAGTCCCTGCTCGAGCAGTTGTTCCTCTCCAAATGATGTGATCTAGGTCTAATCGTATACTTACATCTCCCAGAACGGGCATTTTCTCCGCCTTTGACAAAAACAAGAAAACGGAGTGCAGGCCGTCATATCTGTCGAAATAGGAATTGAGGGTGGCGGAAAACTGGTCCCCATGGGGGTAGTAGACGATTCTGTTTGGGAAGAGGACTGTTCGCATCGCAGAATACGTGAGTTCGAGTGAAGACAGAATTTATTGATGTCAAAAATTTCGCAACGGTTCTTCAGACCCCCTCCATTTCTGATGATGAGGCGATACTGCGTTCCGGGTACGAAGTTAATTTATCCCAACCTAGTCTAACTTTTCTGCAGCCGTTCAACCGACCCCAGCACGAACACACCTAAGCGTCCAGGCCTCTAGCCCTAGACTTGCTGCACGCAGGTACATAAACAGTAGATAACAATGACACACTAACTTCCTGGGGTATGACTTAGCACTGCTATCCTATACCCAATCTACCGCCAATGGACACTACTTTTCAACAACTCAAAGTCCTGCGCAGAATGAATCCATAATCCCGGTGTTTTCTGCCTTGTTTTTGAAAAAGCGACTGAAGTCTATCCACCTCGGAATTAGCGTTTAATTGCTTACTAGAAACAACAAATGCCACCTTTAATTTACCCCCAACGCATTCAAGGTCAAAGATTGAAGGGTCTTCAGCTAGGATGATTACTCGGTCCTTCTTTGGACTGAAGGCCAGACTGCAGCGGTTCCTTACGTCGACCTTTGTGGCACTCCGGCCTTCGTGAGCCCCGATGCGTCTTCTAAATAAAACCTACAGTCAGTGGCCGATCTCATAACACAGTTGCCGAAAGTCTGAAATGAGTTTCCAATTAAGGAGGTCTACTTAAGTGGAGTTGTCATATTGAGCATCATGTAGCATAAGCAAAGGATAATTCGGTCACGAGTGATACCGACTTTTTAAATGCGATTCTACTCGACCGCCTTCAAAAATCGTACTCGGTAGAAATTCGCCACATAAGTAGTATGCTTTTTTCGGTAAGATGTGGTTTAGTAGCCCCACCTGATAGACACAATACTGTTGGGGTTGGGGTTAAGGGTTAAGGTTAGGGGTTATGTTTACGGGTGATGAGTTGGGGTTAGGGTTAGGGGTTGGGGATGGGGTTTAGGATTAGGAGTTATAGTTAGGGGTTAGGGTTAGGGAAATTATTTCTTAACCATTGAAAGTACAACCACGCATTCCCAATAGTTTTTATTTTGCATACAACTACTTGACCTCGTCGCCTGTGCATTCCCCGGCTCCGCCTGTAAAAAAATCCTATTACTACCGGTCCCGTATTTGAGGTGACTGGATTTTGCTTACTTCAGGCGGGGCTCCCAAATCACATCCGACCCTTTTTTCTACTGATTTTGGATATACTTATAAATCCATATATATTTTACGGTAAACATGCGTACAGTGTGTTTTCTTTTACTCGATTGGTAGAAATTCACGCCTTCTTTAAATGCTGTACTTAATGAATGGGTATTTTCGGCTTTTAAATAAAGGTTTTTTTCAATTCCCGAATAATCTTGAGTCAGATCGCGGGCCGCATTTGCGTTCAGGGTTTATAATCTGAAAGCTGTATACTTTCCATGCGGGGAAAATCATATTTACCTCTATTTCTTTAAGAAGATATCATCCAGGACTCATAAAACTTTGAAATGGATGTGGACTACGTTGTATACTTCATAGGCAGCATTAATAAACGGACAGATACGATGATATTTGAATGGACATTTCACGGTCTCAAAGTCTCATAATTACACATTTTTCTGGAACCAAAAGGTGCACTCTATTCAAATATAAAATTTGAAGAAGCCATGAATTTCTACCAAACGAGTAAAAGAAGGCACTTT